ATTGAGGAACACATGCAGGAAGAGGTGTCTTTAGAGTATTAGGCTAAGAGGTGCAAGGAAGAGGAAAGGGGAGGCGAGCAGGAAAAAGGACTTTGTTTCTTGGACATGGAGCCTGTGGGGGCACAGCCTCTCAGAGCTGAATTCAAAGGGTCTACAGAAGAGGAGGGATGCCTCTGTGCCTGGAAAGGATCCAGTCGCAGCAAGGGCAACGAAGGAAGAGCAATGGGGGGCTTGGAAGGGAGATATTAATACCAAGAGCACCAGGCCCCCTGGGCTTCAGGCAACACAGACGGTGAAGTGCACAGAAATCGTGAGAAATGAGTTTTTGTGCAAAGCACATTTCAGTTAACCCTGCTTCTTGCCCCTCTACAGTTCCTTTCAAATAGAATGGGGGTAAGATTGAAGTAGCACCCACAGAAAATTTCCAGAGGATCCAGCAATTAAACTAGCCATTGACTTGGGTAGGGGAATAGGGAGAACCCTGGGACCGTCTGTCGTGCAGACTGTGTGGAACYGAGTGATTGCTACATGCCCATTTTCTGTGGAATGAACAATCCCAGAGTAGGCTGATATAGCACTACTTTTATTGAGTACAGACCTCCAGACACTCCAGTCCAGTTCCAATMCGAACCCAGCCCTTGGGCATGGGACAAGGCCACACTGAAAATTTGAAAGGTTGGGATAAGGACAGTCAACTCTACACAGTGTGGAAGGAAATAAAACTCATGGAGGACTCAAACCTCCTCTTCAAGACAGTTCTAGAAGAACTCAAAACAGACCTGTTTGAGGCTTATTTCTTTAATTTATCAGTACAACATAATTATACAAAATAGTGTGACTCATTGTGGTATTTTCGTACATGTGCATATATGTCTGTGTAAGGCACATATTTGTGCACTCAGRAGGATTGCAAGTTCAAAGTTAGCCTGAACAACTTGGCAAGACCCTATCTCAAAATTAAAAATTTGGACTGGGGGGATAGCTCAGTGGCAGAGCACTTGCCTAGCATGCACAAGGCCCTGGGTTCAATCCCCAGTAAAGGAAATAGAGAAAATCTGCCTTCTGATAGGCTAGCTTCTGATAGATGTGTTCAAACTAGTTTGAGGGCTCTTGGCTCATACTTTGAGACATATTTGGTTACTGTCTGTGTCAAACAAGGGCTCAGTGTTGTGTTTTTAACACACCTTTGTAATTGACATGAAGCAATCTGGAGTGCACAGTGCCCCAGAACACGAACTCGGAGGCACACTTGGAAGCTTACTGAGAGTCAGGAACCTATACCAGGAATCCTTTGCTCTCTGACAGAGAAGAGGCATGGAGTCAGGGAAACCCCTTCCCTCTGAGCCCCTGCACTGGGACTGACGGCCCGCCGACCACAGGTCCGTGTGCAGAAGAAAAGGCATGCCAGCAGTGAAGACTCTGTAGGACATCTGGCACCCGACTTGGTTCTCAGCACAACTCCTCAGTGACTGTGGAACCCAGGGAAAGACATTTACTTCTTTCTGAATTCTGGACTTGTGTAAAATTGTAAGAAGTGGCCCATTTCACAGTCCAACAGAGCAGCAGGGGACCAAAGTGTGTGCTAAAGTGCTCACTTGCCATGCCTCCCAGAGCAGAGACATTCCTAAAAGAGAGAAGGCCAAAGTCTCTACCTGGTTAGCTTCTCAAAGCAGAGATTKAAGGACTTTCCTCAGTTCTCTCTCCTGCTCTGGAAAACTTCAAAAATTGGCCAATGATGGAACCCTCAAATAAAACCCTGAACTCTCAAGGGTCACCATCCTATGCCAGAAAAGGGAGAGAATGCTTTTATTTAGCAAGGCCTACAAAAAGAGGTGACCACAGGAGAATGAAAGTCACAAGTCCCCCAAGAAAGATGAGATGCTAAGAGACAGAGGAGTTCACTGAATACCCAATTACAGATCTCCCATGGAATAATCTCCAATTCACAACTCAGAGGAAACTTGTGAAGTTGGTTCTGGATGTCAGTCATAAGCCTTAGGAACTGGAGACAAAATGGAAAGATGCCTTTGGAGAAGGAGCAGAGCTTGGTTTGCAAGCAAGTCACAGGCAGAAGGGAACCAATTGCAAGAGGCCCTTCCCTCCAAAAAAAAAAATAGGACTATCATATGATCCAGCAATCCTACTACTGGTGTATCTCCAAAGGATATGAAATCAATGTGTCAAATAAACATTAGCACTTYCTGTTCACTACACTCTTATTCACAGTAGCCAAGATATGAAATGAACCTAAGTGTCTATCAACTGATGARTGGATAAAGAAAATGTACTACATATACACCATGGAATACTATTTCAGCCATTAAAAAAAAGGAAGGAAATCCTGTCATTTGTGACAACATGGATGAACCTGGAGGACATTCATATTAAGTGAAATGGGCTTCATTCACACAGGGACTCTAAAATAAGATTATAGAACTGTGGTTAACAGAGGCTAGGGATGAGGACTGATGTATCATTTCTGACAAGGAATAAAATGTGGGTTGGGTGAAGGATACAAACTTTCAATTAGACAGAATAATTTCAAGAAATGTATCGTATAACATGGTGCCTAAARTTAATAATCTATTATGTACTTGAAAATTGCCCAAGTAGATGTTAGGTGTTCTCACCAAAAATAAATGGTTAAGTATGTGAGGTTATGCATATGTTAATTTGCTTGATGTAGCCATTCCACAATGTATACATATTTCAAAACATTATACACTACAAATAGATTCAATTTTCTTTTGTCAACTAAAAAAAGTATGTGTGGGTGTGTGGGATATAACTCAGTAGTAGAGCCCTTGCCTAGCATGTGCAAAGTCCTTGGGTTCAATCCCCAGCACTGCCGAGTGTGTGTGTGTGTGTGTGTGTGTGTGTGTGTGTGCATCTGTGTGATCCATCCTGGCCCCTTTTTGAGTCACAGGGCGAAGTCATGCAGAGCTGAGGCTAGAGGATAAGCTGAGAGCTTGTAAGTGGAGGTAACCTTGGGCTGGGCCTTACAAAACACAAGGAAAGATAATCCGAGGTCTTAAATTCACCAGTGAAATACCTTCAACCCCTAGGGCAAGAAACAAACTAAAGAGGATGAGCCAGCGAGTAAAAGCTGGAAGTCAGAAACACCTKGAACCAGGCACTCAGGAATACCAGCATGGGTGTACGTACACAGAGATCCCTGCAGTGACAGTCACAGTCAAGACAATGCAGAAAACAACGCATGAGGGCCCAGGGCAAGAGGCCAAAAGCCAGCATAGGAAACCTCCATCCAAATAAAAAAGTTGTCTGGGGTGGGGTGAGCAGGACAGAACAGCTCCTGAGGAGTTAGACTCACCTGGCWCAGATCCATCCACCTTCTTACCTTGGCCACTGTGCACACTCTGGCTCATTGTCACACYACCTGTAGGAAGATCATAAAGCTGTACTGTGGGGTGGGGTGGGCTGCAGGTGAAGCAGACAGCACTGTGCTGGCTTGGTACAAGCAACCTCATACAGGCAGCTAGGTGTGGTCTGTGTGAACTGGTTCTCAGAGGCCAAATCCTTTGTCTATTCACAAGAGTCCAGAGAAAGACTGCTTTCTCTTTGTTGATTTCTATAGCAAAGAGGGCGAAGGCACTGCGTTGGCAATGTCAAAACTGCAGTCACTTTCTGATTGCTTGCGTTAACGGAGAGAAGCAGGCAGCCAGATGATGGAAAACATGCAGATCTTTCCTGTTTAACTTTGTAATGAATTATTTGATTGTTTCACAGGACTAGTAACAGGTTCTGCTTCCCAGTTCAAGCCCATGTTAAAGCTGGCCAGTATTCTCTAGGCCTGAAGCGTGGCAGACTGACTGTTAATAAGTGGCTGACCATCTGCATTATACCCTGCAGGGCACCACAGAGAAAGGACTCTAAAGGTGACCCCTGGGTAATCAAGTGTCAGAGCAAAAAAGTGGAAGAATCAGACAAGAAAAAAGGTAAAGTCCTCCTCTGAGGACATCTGGTRGCTACCTTTTTCCTATACTTATTAAAAGTAGGACATCAATTTYAATTAATTAATTAATTAATTATGTTGGTGGTAGGGATGGAACCCAGGGCTTTCTTTGCACTTACTAAGCACACACTACCACTGAGCTACATCCAGTCCATCTGGGACATCACATTTAAATTTAAAATCACAGAACACATCTAGCCAAATTGTTCTCAAATCTTCTTTTGTCAAAAGTTGCAAAAAAAAAAATCATCCAAATGGACACTTAATAAAGAGTAAATGGGGGATCRTAGAGAATAGGATAGACAGCAGAATACATCAGACACTAGAATGGCAATATGTAAATCAATGAAAGTGTAACTGATGTGATACAGCAATCTGTATACAGGGTAAAAATGGGAGTTCATAACCCACTTGAATCAAACTGTGAAATATGAATATTAAAAATTCTCTCTCTCTCTCTCTCTCTCTCTCTCTCTCTCTCTCTCTCCTCTCTCACTTTCTCTAAAAAAAAAAAGAACTATGTAATGTTTTGAACGACCAACAACAAATAAATAAAAAAATAATAATAATAAAATAAAAAAAAATAAAGAATAAATGGAAGGACAAATAAGAATCCAATAAAAGTGATTACCTACAGGGGATAGGACAAAAGTGTGACATGTTTTTATGCTGTTTTGACTTTTGAAGGATGTAAATTTATTACCTCTTTAGGAAAGTAAAAATTGTTAGAGTTGGAAACCAAAAATGTCAAGTGGCTGACCGCGGAGATGCTCTGGTGGGGAGAGCACAGCACTCTGCTCCTTCCTCGCTCCAGGGTTTGGCACTGTTTCCATGTTCCTGCACCTGGGCCAGTGGCCTGGGCTAGTCTCATTTCATAGATGGGGAAAGAAAGCTCTGAGAGTCAGTGCTGTCTCTGGTCTCTCCTTCCACTGGACACATTCAGATAGGGTCACATACACTTCCCAGAAGAAACAAAACACTGGATCCTTTTGAAAGATTTATTTTTAGTTAAAAAATAAAAGTTATCTTAACATATCTGCATTTGCAGCTTCAGGGTTGGCAACTTATGGAAGCAAGAAAAACAAGGCTTATCAGTTTTTGGGTCACCTGACCATTTTATAATGGGTACCAAGGCACACGTGTCTCCAAATAAACAAACGGGATTCAGAACATTTCTAATAACTCACAACTCTCTTACTCTGAACTTTTTTTTTTGTCATTGTTGCCTGTGCTCATCACCCCACCCCACCCCCGCAAAAAAAAAAAAAACAAAACAAAACAAAACAAACAAGAAAAAAAAACATTAAATTCTCTTTTAAAACTACAGAAATAAGTGCTGAGTCAGCAAGGTCCTGGGCAGGCTGCCCAAGTGCCTCCATCTCTCTTTGCTTTGATGACTGGCTGCCCGGGGGTGGCAAGGAGGAGGCAGGGGCCACCTTCCTCTGCACACTGGCATRGCGCTTGTGACAAAAACAGGCTTCTGGTACCCAGCCCCATTGCCGTCACCCTAGCTAGGACAGGCAGCTCCAAAGCACTGTCTCCCTTAATCAAGGGCATCCGTGGCTACACAGCCTTCCATGAAGAGAAAGGACTAAGACAAGCAAGTCTTCTCAGATGCTTGTGATGGAGACAGCACTGAGAACTGTGGGRGGGGGGGGAGAGGTGGCTCTCTTCTCCCCCCGTTGGTTAGAAGTTTTTCTTCTCCTAGTCTCCCTGCCTTCTCTCTCTTCCCTTCTTCCCAGTCTCCCCCTTCCCCCAAAAGAGTTTTATTTTAGCTTAATGGTGGGGGTTCAGAAGAGGCTACTGGTGACTCCTGGGGCTGGCCTGGTGGCTCTGCCACCTCCAAGGGGACATCGTGTGCTTTTGGTTCCTGTGCTTCCCAGGGCTCCTCCTGTCCCTGAGAGGGGTCCAGCTGCTCCTGACTCTGGGCCTGATTGTTCAGTTTCTCTTCAGCTTCAATCTCTTCTGACGTAGGGATAGAGTTCTTCTTGGGACGACCTTTTGGCTTTGTGGGAGCTTCCTGTCCACCTTTCAGAACCTATGTGAGAGGAAAACAAGTGACTGAGTCTAAGAAATAACTCCTTCCCTCCACTCTTCTGCTCTCTAGGATGACTTTACACAGCATCTAAACCCTCTCTTAGGGCTGGCAATGTGGGTGGCTCAGTGGTACAGCACATGCCAATCACATGAGAGACCCTGGGTTCAATGCAAAAAAAAAAGGGAGAGACAGAAACTCTAAGTTCTCCCTTCCCAGCAGCAAAGTTACAGGGTGTGGCAAAATGTATTYTAAACCTCTCTCTTCTGGCCTGCAAAAAGTGCTTCATTCAAGCTTGATGCATTTTTAGTCAATATCATATATTTTAGCATTTATAATATGATTATAAACTCATTAAAATCAACCTCAGTAAGGGAAAAAAATGAAAAATTAAATGTCAATATGGTAACTATCACACTAACAAATCAGAAGGATAATATTATTTGTGGCAAGCAGGAAAATATAAGTGTAAACAGTACAACCTTTTCAAGACAATGTAAGAATTCAAATCAAAGCCTTTAAATGTGCATCCCTTTTTTGACCCAAATATTCCTTAGGATAAATTCTAAAAAATCATCTAAGACTAAAACAAAGGTTGATCCACACAAATATTCATCATAATATGGCTTATAACAGCAAAAGTTGGGGTGTGTACTCATTCAGCCACATAATTGAGTAGGTAATGTAATATATCCTGAAGAAAGAATACTTGGTAACCATTACAAATATTACACAGGAGAGTATTTAATGACACGGGAAATACTAAGAATGTGTTTTTGTGAACAACAGGTCATCAGATAAGCCTAGTTCAGTTTGGAGACAAGACAACCATATACCACCTAGTTTGCGGTGCTGAAGTCATGCATAATTTTTATCTTTTTTCTTTGTGTTATTTCTGTGTCTTCTAAATTTTCAACAAGGATCATGTATGAGTATTTTTGTTATCATGAAAAGAAAGATGTTATAAAACAGAGTCTTGTATTGTTCAGAGAAGTAGTAGGACATAGCAGAAAGTCTTATAGCTTTGAAGGTGGGAAAACTAGGTGAAATTCTAACTCTGCCACTTATCAGCTTTGCCTTTGGAAAAGCCCTTTAAAGTCTCTGAGCTTCAGTTTTCCAAATACATAAAATGGAAACAACAATGCCTATCTCACAGAGGAAAGATGAGAGTGACCAACACAAACTGGATATGAGAGACCCAGAACTGTAATTGGATGGTAGATTTCCTCTGAGCAGAGCATGCCTCTTCCTGGCTGACTTCTTCTGGAATCCTGCCCTGTTCCCCTAAATAAGTCAACCTCTCTCCACCATGTACACTAGGAGTGCTTTTCATGAGATGCTGTCACTGTTGTGTTTACTTGCCTGCCCCTCACCACTAAGTCCCTGCTCATAGCAGGCATTCAAAGACTGTTACAAAATAAACCAACTTTTCTCAATAAACATTTCCAYGGAATTGAAAAAGGATATAAAACATGCAAAAGCACACTCTAAATGAGCTTTGATGCCATCAAAGGACTTTCACACTTTTTATCAAAATTGTGACCTTCCTAGGAATCCTATGAGGTAGGCAAKGATAATTTTAAAAATATTTATAATTTACTTTGAAATGTAACATTCCCTCCTCTGCTGGCTCCAAATTTCAGCTTGGAATAGTTCTGGGCAGCTACAAAAAGGGGCTTTGGGAGGACTTGGATTCAAGAGAAAATTAGGGATGAGAGATATTTTTGCTACTTATGTATAGTGTTAGTCATAACACCTGTGATAAAATACCTGAGATAAACCAACTTATAAAGAGGAAAGGTTATTTTGGCCCATAGTTTTGGAGGTTTCAGTCCATGGTCATTTGGCTCATTGCTTTKGGGCCTGTGGTAGCACAGTACATCATGGCAGGAATGTGTGGTGAAGGAAGTCATTCACCTTGTGGTGGTCAGAAGCAAAGAGGGAGAAACAGGAAGGATCTGGGGACCCAATGTCCCCTTCAAGAACATGCCCTGATGATCTGACTTCCTTCCATTAAGCTCCACCTCCTAAAAGTTTCACCACTTCCCAACCAAACCAAGCTGATCAGCAAGTCTTTCAGGGACATTCCAGATTCAAATTATAGCACATGCCCCACTTAATGTTATCTTCTCCATTTGCATAAAAGCTCCTTGAATGCCAATCCTGTATCTTTCTTGTGAACACTTAACTTCCAAGAACTTTCTAGGCAGTCACTAAATTATTATTAACTATGTCTCTTTCTTTCAAGAGCAGCAGAAGACCTTCAGGTGCTAAACTTTTAACAATGATATAGTAATTCGTCAAACCATAAGCTCTTTTTTGTGATATAATTCACATGTCATATATTTCGTCTTTTTAAAGTGTACAAGTCAATGACTTTTAAGATAGTCAGAATTGGGCAACAGTCAGTGTATGCATCCTGATGTCTCCCAAATTCCTTGCCCTCAGCCCTAGGCAACCACCAATCTGCCTTTTTTCTTTATAGAGARGGCTGTTCTGAACATTTCACACAAATGGAATTGTAATACAAAGACTTCTGTAATTGGCTTCCTTCACTTGGCATCRTGTTCTCAAGGTTGATCCATGTTGCAGCATATGCAGGAAAATAATACCTCATTTTAGGTATATACCACATTTTGTTTATTCACTCATCAATTGATGGACATTTGGGTTACTTCTACCTTTTGGCTAGTGTAAACAAAGCTGCTATAAACATGGGTGTGCAAGTATCTGTTTAAGTCCATGCTTTCACTTTTTAATTATTATTATTATTTTATTTAATTTTTATTCTGATTTGTTATATATGACAGCAGAATGCATTACAATTCATGTTACACATATAGAGCACAATTTTTCATATCTCTGGTTGTATACAAAGTATATTCACACCATTCGTGTCCTCATACATGTACTTAGGGTAATGATGTCCATCTCATTCCATCATCTTTCCTCCCCCCATATCCGCTTCCCTTCCCACCCCTCTGCCCTATCTAAAGTTTGTCTATTCCTCTCATGCTTCCCCTTCCAACCCCACTATGAGTCAGTTACCTTATATCAGAGAAAACATTCGACATTTGRTTTGGGGGGATTGGCAAATGCCATGATTTTATTCTCTTTTATTGCTAAGTAATATTCCATTGTGTATATATACCATATTTTCTTTATCCATTCATCTACTGAAGGGCATCTAGGTTGGTTCCACAATTTAGCTATTATGAATTGTGCTGTTACAAACATTGATGTGGCTGTGTCCCTATAGAATGCTGTTTTTGAGTCCTTTGGGTATAGACCAAAGGATGGGATAGCTGGGTCAAATGGTGGTTCCATTCCCAGTTTTCCAAGAATTCTCCATAMTGCTTTCCATATTGGCTGCACCAATTTGCAGTCCCACCAGCAGTATTGAGTGTACCTTTTCCCCCACATCCTCACCAYCACTTATTGTTGTGTGTATTCTTAATAGCTGTCATTCTGACTGGAGTGAGATGAAATCTTAAGAGTAGTTTTGATTTGCATTTCTCTAATTGCTAGAGATGTTGAACATTTTTCATATATTTGTTGGTTGATTGTATATCTTCATCCGAGAAGCATCTGTTCAGTTCCTTGGCCCATTTATTGAATGGGTTATTCTTTTTTTTTTTTTTTTTTGGTGTTTAGCTTTTTGAGCTCTTTATATACCCTAGAGATTAGTGCTTTATCTGATGTGCGAGTGGGAAAAATTTGCTCCCAAAATGTAGGCTCTCTATTCACCTCACTGATTGTTTCTTTTGCTGAGAAGAAGGTTTTTAGTTTGAATCCATCCCATTTATTGATTCTTGATTTTAATTCTTGTGCTATAGTCTTTCACACCCAGCGGAGCTGCTTTCAACATATAAATTCTACCTTGGCACATTTAGGTGCTTTMAAAAGCCTGGGCTCATGCTGAAATCAAAATCAGATACTGACTTACTTGAAAAGGAATATGGGGACCTCTTCTCCCCAGAGRTGGTTTCTGTCAGCATCTATGYCTAGTGTAAACAATGTTGCTATAAACATGGGTGTGCAAATATCTGTTTAAGTCCATGCATTCACTTCTTTGGGGTATATTTCCAGAAACGGAATTGTTGAATCACATGGCAAATCTATGATTAACATTTTTAGGACTATTTTTCCAAAGCAGCTGCACCATTTTACATTCCAACTAACAACATATGAGGATTCCAATTCTCCACATCCTCATCAACACTTGCTATTATGCCTTCTTGATTTATAGCCATCCCAGTGGGTACAAAGTGRCATCTCATTGTGGTTTTGATCTGCACTTTCTTCCCTGATGACTAATGAAGTACAGCATCTTTTCATGCACTTACCAGTAGGTTGTATATCTTCTTTGAAGAAAGGTCTATTCAAATCCTTTACTATTCCTTCTAAATTTGGATGTCATTTTATTATTGGGTTGTAAGTGTTCTTCAAATTTTCTGGACACATGTCCTTTATCAGATATAAGATGTGCAAATATTTGCTCCCATTTGGTGGGTCGTCTTTTCACTTTTTTGATAATATCCCTCACATCGCAAAGGTTTTTAATCTTGGTGAAATCCAATTTAATATTTMTTTTGTTACTTGTGCTTTTGGTGTCATATCTAAGAAGGTTTTGTCTAATGCCAGTTCACAAATATTTACTCTTATGTYTTTTTCTAGTATCTGTATAGTTTCAGCTCTTATAATAGATCTCTGACTCACTTTGAGTTAATTTGTGTGTGTGGCTGTGAGGACAGCCAAAGGTTCTCAATAAACATCGCCTATTAGCTGTGAATCTTCTCCATCTATTTGAATCCACCCAAAAAGCTAACACAGAGTTGTGAAGGGACCTTTCACAAGGCATAGATGCTGACAGAAACCACCTCTGGGGAGAAGAGGTCCCCATATTCCTTTTCAGGTAAGTCAGTATCTGATTTTGATTTCAGCATGAGCCCAGGCTTTTGAAAGCACCTAAATGTGCCAAGGTGGAATTTACATGTTGAAAGCAGCTCCACTGGGTATGAAAGAGGTTATACAAAAGTAAGTTGCCCCATGGAGTAATCAAGTTAGAGAAGGGCAGGTCTAAGGAAGCCACCTAATTGGCAAAAGAAAGTCCAGCCCAGCAATTAGAGAACACCACCCACACAGCTTGGATCGACCCCACCTGGCTATTTTCCTACAGCACAGGAAAAAAAAAATCAAAACAATCAGACCATTTTCTAAATGGAATAAAACATTCCAGTGCAAGCAATAATTAGGAGATAACTACCCTCCTGGCTGCTTTCCACATCGACCTCTGGCCCCCTGTCTTCCAGCACACCTGAGACATGCAATTATCTCAAAACCGCCCTGCACCAGGAGCTGCACACATGCATGCACCCTGTGGCCCTCCTCTCAAGAGCCCTCCTCCCCAGTTATTCCTCTAGGCGATTTGTCCCCTTAGTTCAGAGAGGCTAGACAACTCCTAACACGAGAGGCCACACGCTTCCCTCTGCCTCTGGGAGCAACACCCAACACACCACCTACTTTTATTAACGATGCCTGCTGACAGCTCTCCTTCGAACTCTAAAACTAGGCATTCAAATGTTCTGCTGCTGAGCATGTCAAGATGGGACCTCCTGCCTCCTTCTGGAGGTGTTTGGGTCTGGGACAGGCAGTTTGACTAGACAGCACAGAATGTCAGTGCTGGGAGGAAACTTTTTCCTCTCTCCCTTTTCAGACAGGAAACATCTGACAGAAAGGGGTTGTCAAGGTCAAAGAGTGAGCCCAGGGAAGAGCTGGGATTTGAACACAAAAACTCTGACCATTTGAATCCAATACCCATATCAGTACTTCATTCTGAGTAATGTGCAAAGACACGTAGAAGGTTCACTGTTTAGTCTGTGTCTAATGTTTATCTACAATTACCCAAGCTCCCTCAGACTCCAGGCAGCAGTAGGCTGCTGAACTGAGCCACTTTTTGCTTCTTTTTCTCCCTCTCTTTCTGTAGCTTTATAGAAAAGTGACAGCCATATAACTGATAACAATTTCCATAAAGCTGAGAAACAAGTTTGGATTCTCCAGCATGAACCTCCTCCCATACCATTACTGCTCACATTAGCTGACTGTCCCAGCCTGAAGATGGCATGTTCCATTACACCCCAAGCAGGGCACAAATACCAAGGCTCTGACAGACAAAAATCCAGGACGACTCTAAACCAAAAGAAAAAGCACAAGGTCTCGGAAACCTGTAAGATCTACTTTCAATTTATCTATGTTGGCCTTCAAAAATCTGGATTCTCAGCTGGGTGCAGTGGTGCACACCTATATCCCCAGCRGCTCGGGAGGTTGAGGAAGGAGGATCATGAATTCAAAGCCAGCCTCAACAAAAGTGAGGTGCTAAGCAACTCGGTGAGACCCTGTCTTTAAATAAAATACAAAACAGGGCTGGGGATGTGGCTTAGTGATCAAATGCCCCTGAATTCAATCCCCAGTACCCACCCYCCAGGGAAAAAAATTAAAAATCTGGATTCTGTAGAGATACGCAATTTGTAGACAGATAAATGACAACAATAATGACAATAATAGCTGCATCCTGTGTTGCAAGAATCTAAATGTTTTAAAGAAATTAGCTCAGTTACTACTACAGCTCTGTGAGGTGTATGTGAGGGATTTTACTGATGAGGCGCACTGAGGTTAAGTAACCTATCCAAGATATATAGATAGCAACCAGTAACAATGTCATGGAATTATTTGCTATCTGGAGACTTTTRATGCAAAAGATAACGATGGTGCTTAGTGTGTGGCCTACCCAAATTCTGTGAGTGGGATAGGAAGACCTATCCATTTGGATCCTTTTGAAGAAGAGAATTGTATTTTAAAGCTGAAAAAAAGACCACTAAATAATGAGGCGCTTTCAGCCTATTGTGAAACACTGTGGATCCTAATGGAACTAATGCCAACAGAAATGGAATAGAGGGTGAGTGTCCYATCTAATGTGCAAGATTAAATTTACCCAACCCGCTATAGGTTACAAACGCTGACCAGTCAAAACTAGTCCAAGATGCTATCTTGGTTTTGGCAGCGTTGTCCTTGGCAGCTGTGTGAATAAGTCTGAGAATCAAGTGCTAATCTTTTTCCAGTTCCAATTAGGTTACTAGCCTTGAGACATCTTTATTACCCAATTATCTTTCTCTTTTCCTCTCAGTACCTGAAGAGATAGCCTTGAAAGAGGTTTACCAGCAAAATATATGAAGCAATTGGATCTCAACAATGCTGTGCTGTTCTGAGGGAGGCAGAATTTAGACTTCCAASTGAAAGAAGTCTTCACATATAGCCCACATTTTGAAGTTCTTAAGCGTCCCCAAGAACTTCTGCCCCTTTTTTCTGCCTGTGATTCCCTTTTCCACCTTCACTGAGTCTCAGTTTAGATGCTGCCTCTTCTGTGAAACACTTCTTTCTCTGTTCTGACTCTGAACCCTCTCTTAAGTGTTCTGGCTGTTGCCCTGATCAGTCTGGATAATTTAAATTTCAGGTCTGTTTCCCCCACTTGACTGGGTACCTTTTTAATTCTATTTTTTAATTGGACAGATTCATAGCTTGTCTTTGCATTTCCACTGCCCGATGCAATGAAGTGCTCAATAAATTATCCCCAAAGTGAACTGAAAGCTCTTGTTTCCTAAAGGAACCTGAATTTGGTGGGTCCTGATTTTAACCCTCTCTGAGGTTAAATCTGCTGAGGTCCTTCCATCTTGACCTAGATGGCAGAGATAACCATCAACCACCAGCCCACAACTGTGCCCCAGCAGAGTGGCTGGGGAAAAACAAGTGACATCAGAGGCTCAGGCACACGCGCTCGCTGTTCTGCGAGTACTGGGCGGTACTGGCAGAGCGGGCTGGCTGTCAATTCGTTAAGCATCTGACTCATGAGAAGATTGCTGATAACCAATTTGAACAATGCCTCTGCTACTCAGGAGACATTGATTTCGATGACGATGATGATGATTGACGAGGAAGGAGGTGGGTGGTGGAACTTGAAGGGAAAACACTGAAAGGACTTGCCCGAAATCAGTCAGGGAGGGGCAAGCATGGGAACATGGTTGGCCTTTCTCACTCCCAAATCTGGTTCTTCCAGAGAATAATCCCCCAAAAGGTTTCCACCATAAGTTATATGTGTGTAGCCTTGTACAGTTTTTGGAATGGCTACCTAACTGAATCTCACTTGTCCTTCAATTTCATCTTCTCTGAAATTCACTACCTCTCCTCTGAACTCATGAGCTTATCAATCTATAACAGCCAGCACTTACTCAAAATGTACAACCTTACTGCTTCTCAGACCTTCTTTCTCCAACTAGATCATAAATTCCAAGACAGCTGGGGTTATATTTTATTTCATTTACCTCCTATAGTGCTCAGGACAAAACTTGGTTCATAAGAGACATCAAATATATACTTGTTTCATAAGATATATTATAGTTTATACATGCAACTGGCTTCTGCCTTACTTCCTGCGTAATTCATGAGCCAAGTCACCTCTATTGAAAAACCCTTGCAAAAAAATCTCAAGATCAGGTTCTCCCAGAAGGAATTATGTGACCTGCTCACAGATTCCTTTCTAGGAATATAATAGCTGCTGCTTGTTGGCTTTTCCCCTGATTTTCCCCATTCATGTTTATTTGCATTTTATTTACTTCGGATATTTTCCCCTTCATTGCTAAGAGACAAAAGCAATAAATAGCAGAACTAAAGGTTTAAGAAAAATATTAATAGACAAAACCATGCATTTGAGAAAAATACCTTCCACTGATTTTTTTTTAAACTGAAGAGAGAGACATCTCAGTTATTTGATTATTGTGAAAAACATCATGTCCCAGCCCTTGAAACACCAGGAAATGTGGCTTCTGACCAGAGAGATCAGCGAATTAGAATTTCATAAGGAAGGCATAATTATGCCTGGTCCATCCAGGAGGAAAAAGAGCCATTAAAATTCAGTGAGATTGTGAGTGAGGCCCTTGTCAGATTACATAGGTACCCAGTATCTAAGGATAGAACAGGGCTTCTTCCTTCATCCCACTCCTCCTTTCTTCTCTGGGCCTTGTTACTTGTGATTTATAGAACTGGGAAAGGTAACATTCAACTACTTTTGATATTTTGGATTTAACATGGCTTTTCAAAAAAAAAGACAGGAGAGGGGGATGGGAAGATAAATAATAATGAAATAAAGTTCATCAAAATGTAGAGTCATTTAGTCTCAGTACATGTAAAAATCAAAGATGAAAATGCTTATTTGCAAGACACTACAGCCATATTATGTAAGCTGTGATCATTAGACCGTATGCTTCCTAATAACCTGGGTGCCTGTTAACATGCCCATTCCCAGCCTTGTCACAGGCCTCTGGAATCAAAACCCTGGGAGAGGGCTAGAGCCCTGCATTTTCACCTGCTACTCAATTGACTCTGACACCCACCAAGTTTGAGGATCCCTGCTTTAGAAGACAACAGTAGCAGAACAGATGTGCTTTCTCTGTCACTATAACCAGAGGGTACTGATTTCTATTCTTAGCTCTTGGTGGGGGAGGAAGGAAGTTATTTGAAGAGGCGAGCAGGTGGGGTTCAAACTGGCAGCTGAGAAGCTTGTGGCCTTCTTTGATTTCTAAGGAAACTGTGAAAAAGAATACCCCCCTTGTTAAGAAATCCAAGTCAAGTTCAAGCAGCCTTCCTCCTAGCCAGCATCTTAGAAACCCTTCCCATCTCACAGCCCAAACCTTCCTGCCTCCCAACAGCCCCATGTTAAGAATTCTTCCCATCAAGATGAGCACATGGTTAGAACCACTCTCTCCTCTCTTACCATTTTCTTCCATTTCATCCTGCGGTTCTGATACCAAGTCTTCACCTGCAGCTGAGTGAGTCCCAGAGACTGGGCTAAGTCCAACCTAGAAGGCACAAGATACAAAGGAAGGATGAGGAAAATGGGAGAGGGCAAGACAGACAGACAGGGGTCCTGCTAGCTCCAGGAACGTGCTACCAAAACTCAAACCTGCCCCATTAAACCAATTCTTCCTTAAAGGGTTTTCCTTTCCTTCCAAGAATCCTATGGAGAAAACTTTGGGAAACAGAGAAACAGGTGTCCACACCTAAGGACACCTGGGGCAGGACCCATGCCAGAAACATTCTCTGTTTTCCATGGACTTGAAAATATCGTCTTATTTTTTGTTTACAAGGTCCTTTTCCTAATCCAATGGTCTTTACTCTGATCCTCTACAAAATGTGAACTCTTACCCAAAATCCAAACCTGAAATGAAAGGTAAAGCATAGGTCTATGGCAATGCCTTTCCTGATCCAGTTCAAGTTATAGCTCCCCTGTCCTGTGTCCTCTGCTCCCTCCCACAGACCAACAATCACCACAGTGGCCCCGAGTTCTCGACTGTCCTCTAATCACTTCACAGGTTATTTCTCTCTCTAACTCAACAGCAACTCCTCCACTTTGTTTTTATCCACAAAAGTACATCTCACATTGCTAAATCCAGAACCAGTGCTCAAAAATACAGTGGCAACCCTAAGCTGTTATAATGATTACATTGTTTAAAAAAAATTAGACATTATGAAATTCCAAATGAAATGTTAATTCCTTAGCCCCTTCTGTTTTCCACGCTACTGCTCATCATGATCCTGCATTTCTCTGTGCCCTTCTGAAAAGCCCTAAAAGTCAAATCTGTTCCCAGAGAGTGTGCAGTTAGGGCAATCTGCAATAACACAGTGACCTGAGCACACACCAAGCCCCTGCTGTGTGCTATCATATGTTTTTCTTTCACCACACTGTGCTGTTGGTATAATTATTCCCATTTTATAGATGACAGATTCAAGGCCTGAAGAGATATTAAAATCTCTTACAACTATGACCAAAAGCTGCATGCCACCTGAGTTTTACAAAGGCTTAATTGAACAGTCATGTTCATTTGTGTCTGTACTGTCCGTGCCTACCTCTGTGCCACAACATCAGAGTTGAGTAGTACTGACAGACCATATGACCCATAAAGCCTGAATATTTACTACCTTGTGCTGTACAAAAAAACTTTTCTGACCCCTGGTAGATGATCCTGGTGTAATAGGTAGAGACAGGATTCAAATCCACTTATGTCTGACTTATGCTACCTCTTGGACAAGGGTTTGTTCCCACTCATAATAATTTTGTACAAGTTGGATCTGTCAAAGGGAAGTGCAGGGAAGCTACACCCTAGGGAGGAGCAACCAACCCCAGTGGAGAAAATGGAATGAGAAGGGAAAGTTTGTAGCCAGGCTCCCAGCCTCAGTCTTGCTCAATATGTGGATAAGAGTGGAGGTCTACCTGAGCACCAACAGGAAGGACCACCTCCTGAGTCAACACCAGCCACCTTCCTGCAGCTCCAAGCCTGCTCTGTGTAAAGCAGCTCAGACAGTGACCACTATTTTTTTTTTTTAACCACTACTTTTTGAAGGTCCCCAGGTTCCTAAAAATCCACTTGTGGATTTAAGGCCCACTGTTTCCCACAAGCCTGAGCCATGGGGATCCTCAGATGCAAGTTCTCAGTTGCAACCTTCTCTACCTGATCAGATCTAACCATCAGCAGCACCCATGGGTACTGGCCATGAAGGTTCAGGATGGTAACTCAGGTGCTAGCTACCTAGCCCCCCTGTTCTGCCCAGAGCGCACAAATTAAGTCTCTTATAAGAAAAATGGAGCCTGCCTTCAAGGGACTTTAGAGATTTTCTTAAATCTTTATTCACATGTAGCCAGTCATTCCTGTAGAGGGACTGCCAGCAGCCAATAGTTTTATTGGAAGTAATTAACAGACTGAAGCCAATAAATTCCCAGCACCAACAAAACTTAGCTCTTCTAGTTAAGAAGCACTGCATCCCAAGCAGTCATTCATTAAGAACCAGGAATCCAGGAGGGCCATCCCACAGACTTCAGGTCTCCAGGGCCTTTCAGGGCTCTGTGTGCCTTCCCCAGTGTGGGTCACCTGAGGCCATCAGGTGCATTAGTCAATGGAAGATTCACAGCACTGCCACTGCATTAGCAAATGGTGTTAGCTCACTTGGGAAAAATGCATCCTTGACTCACTCCTGGCTACAGAAACACACTTCACTGTCATCAGCTTTCTCTCATTACCTGCCACCGTTACAAATTCTCACTTCCCTGCATCTTCGCTTAAATGAAGTCACCTAGGAAACTAGAGAAACAAACACAGAGGAGGAGGGCAGGAGCTGTGGGAGGAGGGAGCGCTCATGGCCCTGGTCACGTAGGGAGGTAAGGAACATCAGAGAGGGCGGGTTCAGGCCAGTCAGATGGTGTCCTCCTCCCCAGGCAAGTGAATCAATCTTGTGTAGGTCACCTAAGAGATGCCTGGGCAGGTATCAGGAAGTCCCAAGAGGTTTATTAAAACTAACATTTCTGTAAAAACATTCTCTGGCTTCTGAAATATAAGCCTAAAATTTTACACACGTATGCTCAATCTCCTAACTAATGATGCCCACGTATTCTGGCTGCATAAGTCCATGAGGCTCCCTGTTACCTGCTGAGGGGATCAAAACAGTCACTTAATATTGGGGAACCTCAGTTAGTAATCACCAATTCACAGTCCTGTCTCTACTGTCCACCCAAAATGTGCACATCCCAAACAGAGCTCCATTTTTTCCATCAAACCCAACCTGTCCACAGCCTTCCCACTTGAGTGAACAGCATCCCCATTTACTGATAATACTTGCAGAGAGTCCCCTCCTTGCATCCTCACCTGTCTGGGGTGGACAAGTACTTCTGTTTCTGGAATTTCTTTTCCAGGCCCATGAGCTGCAGCTCAGTGAAGATGGTTCGACTGCGTCGGGGCTTCTTCTGCCGGGGAGTGGGCTGCTCTGTCTCCGACTCGCTGCTGGCTAGAGCCTCACCACCAGGGCCCTCAGCAGAGGCAACCTTTGTGGCTGGGTGGTGGGATAACACAGGGGTGATTCCCGGGGTGGTGGGGACCAGGTGTGAGATGACCGTGGGCTGCCGGGTGATCACCGAGAGGAGAGGATATGCCCGAAGGGAGGGGGAGCCTGCAAGACAAACAGGGAGGAAGGTCACTGCCAGGAACAGGAAGCAGAAAGAGGTTGGGAAGCCAAAAAGGACCACTTGCTGAGACCTGTCTGACGGTAAGGTCTCCTGCCCACRCGTAGATGTAATGAGGAAGGGGTGCAGAGAAAGCAACTCGAGACCTACAGCTGCAGGGTGGGCAGGCATCAGGGAGATGTGCTCAGCTTGGTGTATGAAAACATCCATTTCCCTCTCAGCCTAGAAGAGGTTCCTGCAAGTGCTCCAGTTTAAAGTAAACCCATTCCCAACCTCTTAAATTCTGGTTTCATGGATACAGGTCAATAGCAACAGCAGATGAAAAGAAGTAGTCAGAAAAAGCTAGAAATGCACACTTTTGAATTCCAAAGTAGATGTAGTCCTAGAAAGGTTAAGTGACTTGCTAAAGATAAAACAACTAGGAAAAATCAGATTGAAGGAGACAGACTAAGTTCTGGTTTTTTGATCCTGTCCTGCTAGCACTGCATCATGAATCACTTGGATACAACCTTTAAAGGAAGGGGACAAAGAGATTTTAATTCATATAAAAACTTAGCTTAACTATGACGAGCTGCCTACAGCACGGTGTTTAAGAGGGTCCTCAGGCAGGGTGAGAGCTTAGCTGAGGAAAGAATAGTCAGGCTGATTAACAATATCTGCCATAAACATGCAGGGGGACAGTGGTATGGTGCCACTCCTGCTTAAGGAATTTCAAAGCAAGAGTATTTTTCCTTCCAACAATAAATCTTGAAAGTTCATARAAGACCTCTTTCTTTTCATTATTTAACAGCATCAAGTTTTAAATGCCTTGATCATGATTTATGTACCATTTTGTCCCTCTGGTCCTCAGTTTTGTCATATGAATAGTGAATAAGAAAAGCTACTTCCAAGGAAGACTTCAAACCCTAATACACTCATGCCAAAAAAGTACCCATCTTCCCATTGTTTGAGAGTTGATTAAAATTAAAAGACACAGGGCTGCCCTGGCAATGGACTTCAAGGCCAAGATCACAAGAGCCAACCAACATCCATACTGGTTTGGGCTGAAACTGACTAACATCATAGAAGCCTCCGGGAGCTACTTGTGAACCAGAGGTTCTTTCTGGCTTGGCATTGCTCTTCTAATTCATTCCCATATCTCTGTTCTGGATGCCAGTCTTACTTATTAAAACAGATAAAACCTTTTCTTGTTCTTTGAGTATCCTTCTAGCAAGCCCAGAAGAAACCACAAAGTTGTTGAATAATGATAAATCACCAAATGCTACAACTTCCATTAACTCTCCAGCCAACTCTGAAACTTGAGGTTTTGTGTTATGGATTCTTTTGTTAAAAAATCATCTGGGGAATACTACTTTATAKCAAGAGAATTAGGATATGGGGCTTGTGGTTTTAGATCTCTCAGCATACAACGTGAGTTGACATCAAGTGAAAAAAAAAATTTCTGAAAGCTTCTTACACAGGCAGAAGGTATTTCTCATCTCAAATCACGTTACTCCTTTAAGTTTGCCATTTCTTTCAGAATGGATTTTATCAGACCAGTTTATAATCTAGAAACTCAGGATTTTACCAGGCTAGGAAATGGCTAACTGCTATAAGAAAGGCTTTTTATCACCTTTCTCTTTTGTAATCTTTTCTGGCCTATCATGGAATACTATTTTGAAAATGTGGTAATATCTAGTGTTAGCAAGGATGTAGGGAAATAGACACTCATATATTGTTGGTAAGAGTGTAAAACAGTGTAATCTTTTTTAAGAGGAGAAACTAAGCAGCATCCCATCTACACATCCATCTGCCCATCCATCCACCCATCCATTTATCTACCCATCCACCCACCTATCTATCCATCCACCCATCCATYCACCCATGCATCTAGCTTGCCAGCCATCTACCTACCATCCATCTATCCATCCATTTACCTGCTCATCCACCTATCTATCCATCCATCCATCTGCCCACCTATCCACTCACCTATTCACCACCCATCTGCCCAGCCAGCTAGCCAGCCTGGCAACCATCTATCTACCACCCACCCACCCATGCATCCATCCACCCGGCCCACCAGCCATCCACTTACCATCCACCAGTCCATCCATCTACCCATTCATCCACCTATCTTTCCATCCATCCACCCAGCCAGACAGACAGACTGCCAGTAATCCACTAATCCCGCCAGATATTAACAGGCAATTTCRTAGCTTGAGTTCTACTTGCCTATGTGTACAAAGACTTATAGACAAGCATATTCACTGCATCCTGGTTTATAATAGTGAAAAAGAGGACATGACTCACATATCTATTAACAGGAAAATGATGAAAAACAATGTGGTATATTTATGGAATGGACTAAAACGTARCCATTAAAAAGAAATATCTATATAAAGTAATATAAGTAGATAAGTACATATATAAACTAATATAAGAATCTATCTAAAATATATCATTAAGATAGAAAAAAGTATGATGTAAGTCAATTTGCATTATCATAAAAAGAACGTGGGTGTCTGCATTTATAAACGCATTTTTTAAAGCTCAGAAAACCAGTTACCAATCTATTAACAGTGATAACCTCTGAGAAAGTGGTGGAAGTAAAATATATGAAAAGGAGTCTACATATAATGATCTCATCCTGTGTTCAATCCAGCCAGGAATATTTACTGAGCATTTTCTATGGGCTATACTCTSCTCTGGAAGCTGGGGATACAGCAATGAACAGGGTAAAGTTCCACCTATAGAGAGCTTACAGTTAAATAGAGATGACAGACAACAAACGAATAAAAAATAATATAATGCCAGAGAGTGATAAATTCTATGAAGAAAAAGTGAAGTGAAATGTGGAGATGGGCAAGTAGGGGGAAGGCAGGTACTTGAGAGAGAGGTGCCAGAAGACCTCTGTGAAAAGGTGATCTTTTGGCAGGTCTGTGCCTCTCTGCACAATAGAGCCTTGAGAAGACACAGGGATGAGTTCCCCAAGAGATGACCACCACACGCCAAGCCCTCCAGGGGGAACAAGCCTGGCTTCAAAAAATAGCCAAAAAGCAGAAATAAGAAAGGGCAGAAGTTTCAGGAGAGAAATTCTGGAGCAATCTTCTAAAGTTAGCTCATGAGGGTCAGGGCAAACAACTGATTCGGGGAAAAAAAAAATCACTGGCAAGAGTTGAGCCAGGGAAGGACATGATCTGATTTATGTCTGTAACAAGCCTTGCTGCTACTGTGTGGCTGGGACTTCAGGAAAAGAGTGAAGGGCAAGGAACCAGCAAGGAGGCCAGGCCATCTTCCAGGCTAGAGAGGSAGCAACAGTGGCAGTGAGAGGCAGTCAGATTCGGGGTATATTTTACAGTTTAAGTGAGGAGAATTTGTAGAAGGACTGAMTGTTGTTGGGGGCGGGGGATACTGGGCAATGGCTAGGATTTTGGCCTTATTGCTGGAGGAATGGAGATGCACCTTAGTAAGATAAGAAAGGTTGGACAAAGAGCAAGATTGAGTAGGAAAACCAAGATTTTTGTGCCAGACAATGTGTTATTATACATCCTGGATGTGTGGAGGAGGCAGCTGGATAAACCAGTCTGGAGTTTGGGGATAGAGAGGGGTTGGACACAGCTTTGACTCATGGACTGTATGTGGCATTTTGAGCCATGGGATTGTGTGAGATCACCTAGGGAGTGAGTGGAAGAAAGAATAAGTGATCCAAGGATCGAGGCCTGGGGCACACCCACATCTGAGGTCATAAGGAGGAAGAAGAGCCAGTCTTCCTGGCTGAGAAGGAGAGAACAGAGAAGCAGGAGTAAAGCCATCATACCCCCGTGCCCCAATACCCAATGATACTTGGGTATTATTTACATTTTGTAACATCTATGTTATTTTTTTAACTTGAAAAAAAAAAAGGAAAGGGGCTGGGGGTACAGCTCAGTGGCAGAGCACTTGCCTCACATGCACAAAGCCCTGGGTTCATCCCCAGCACCACAAAAACAAAAACAAAAAAAAAATTAAATGAACTTTAAGGTTTTGAGTTTCATTTTCTTTCTAAAGCTCTAATAGAAGTTCTATTTGTCAAAAAAGAATTATCATTTACTGATCCTTGAACCTACATATAGTTAAAATTTCTAAAAAGCTGGGCAAAGAAAACCAATGTAACAATCCTTGAAATGGAATATAAAATATGTTTAAATTTCTGACACCACTAGTAAAACATATATTACATGTTCTCTTGGGTAAAAGRGACTCTTAGTCACTTCTAAATCAAAGAATCTAAAGCATTTCTTTTTCTTCATGTTGGGAGACATTTGGGTTCTTATGCTACATAGAATCACACCCTTTTCTTTCAAATAAACATGGTTCAATGTGGAGAAATTGTAGTCTTTTCTACAAATGGTGCTAGAAAAACTGTACATCCATACAGAAAAAAAAAATGGGTCACAGAGCCCAATGTAAACTGAAACCTGTAAAACTTTCAGAAGGAAATCTTGTGACTTTRGGTCAGGCAAAGAATTTTAGCTATAATACCAAAAGCACATGCATAAAAGAAAAAAGGCAAACTGGTCTTCACCAAAATTGACAACCTCAGCAGCTCGGGAGCCTGAGGCAGGAGGATCAAAAGTTCAAAGCCAGTCTCAGCAACTTAGTTAGACCCTATCTCTAAATAAAAAATAAAAAGGGCTGGGGATGTGGCCCAGTGATTAAGCACCTCTGGGTTCAATCCCTGGTACAACACAACAACAAAAATTAACATTCTTTTCCCTGAAAAAGATACAATTAAGAAAATGAAAAAATAAGCTATAGAGTAGCTATATTTTTGCAAATTTCACAACTGCCAAATGATTTGTATCCAGAATATAGTTATTAAAAAAACTCTCAACGCAGGACAATCAAAAATAACCCCATAAGAATGTGCAAAAGTTTTTTTTWAATTTTTTTAGTTGTAGATGAACACAATATCTTTATTTTATTCATTTATTTTTATGTGGCGTTGAGGATCGAGCCCAGTGCTAGG